CTCCCCACCAAAATAGAAGGGCCAGGAGTCAGCTCCAGGGAGGGGCTGGCAGGGAAACCTTTGAAGCATTAAACAGCTGTGGAGGGAAGGCTGAGGGAGGCGACTCTGTTAATATTCATGGTGGCAGCAGTAGCAGTTGTCCGTGGTAGGCAGGGACATCTCCAGCCCAGCTCAGCTACCAAGGCCCGGGCTTGGGCTTGGCTCATACGTCACTGGGTGAGATTGGGCCACTCACCCCTTTCTCTCTGCCTCAGTTCTTTCCTGAGGGACTTTGTCTAGATGGCCTCCTAGATGCCTTCCTTTTGTGAATTCAAGATTCACATCCTTGATCATTTGCCACGATCCCCCCTTAGCCCACCCCCTCATGCACTCTGGGTGGGGTACAGGCCTGGCTGGACTAGGGGCGAGACTGTCTCTGGAAAGCAGCAGGGATGCTGGTGCAGACTGAGGGGTTTGCCTGGAGCCCCTTCCAGGGAGCATCCTTCCAGAGGAGAGGGGCTGCAGGCTCACAGACGGTCTTGATGGGCAAGGGCCACGTCCAGGTAGGTAATAGACCACCCAGGCTTGGACTGGTGCACTTTGGGGAGGGGGGCTGGTGTGCTAGTTGTTAACTCTTTAGTTCCTGGGGGAGGGGCTAGGGAGGCAGGAAAGGGAAACTTTGGGGGAGGCTTGGAGCAGAGTCTGTTTGTCAACTGGAATGAAAGTATTTCAACATTTTGACAACGTGTGTGACTGTATCTGCACCACGCTGTCTGTCAGCCCTGTCTGTGGACACAGGGGCAGGGAAGGCTGCGGGCCCTGGGACCAGTTTTCTCATTTCCACCAATGCCACCCATGAAGAGTGGGTCTTACTTAGTCCAGTGTCCCAAGTCGCCTGGCCTTCCTCCCACTCTTAGGGTACCTCTTTCCCCCCACCCCCCACACAGGGGTGCAATGAAGGTAGCCTTCCCCCCTACCCTCTTCTACAAAGCACTGGGCCAAGCCCGGAACTTTCCCAGCAGCTGTCCTGGATCAGGACCTGGAGCCTCAGTCCTGGTTCCTTGGTGGCTGCCTTGGCTGTCTCCCCTTCTGCACAGGGCCCACTGGCACCCATCCACATATCGGTCAGCCCCTAAGTGGGGACCTTTCTTATCTTTTCCTGCCTGCCGGTGGGGGAGAAGTTGAGGTGGTGTTGCACCAGCAGGAGAAGGTGCAATTTAAGGCAGCTGATGGGGGGGCGCGGGGAGGAGACCCCAGATTCCCAGTGCTGGGCCCAGCTCTGCTGGTTGCCCCAACTTCCCTGTGCAGCAATTTCTGTTTCTATTTTAAACAGTTTGGGTTGGTTGCTTCCCTGCCTTCCTGCTGGGTGTTTATAGTGAGGAAAATAATTGGTAATATTTGCACAGATGTGCTGGTACTGCTGTCAACGCGGGTACGTTTTCCCAGGGGACCCTCCTACCCCAGCCTCTCTCTGCTAGCCTGAGGAGTCAGCCTGAAGGGGGTTACTGCAAGCCCCCCATGCTTCCCAGGAACCTCGGGTGGTGAGGCACAGGCAGAGTTTCCACCTGCTTCCCAAAGCAGGAGGCCTACAGTGCCACAGGCGAAGCAGGAGGCCTACAGTGCCACAGGCGTGCCTGGAGCCAGACCTCAGCTAGCAGGAGGGGCCCAGCCAGTGCTGCTGGGACTGATCTGGAAGAGGCTAGGCGCCACAGGATGGGCCCCTCCTGGGCAGCAGGAGAGAATCCCCTAGAGACATTGTTTCTATTTTCTTCTGCAGAGCCTGAATTTGCAGCAGGGGATACAGGAGGGGGATAAAGAGAAGGGGAGAGCAGGACCAGTGTTGCACGTAAGCAATCATTTGGCTTCTTCTCCCAGATCTCAAGCCTGGAGCAGCTTTCTGGAGCCCGGGAGGAAGTGGGACTGGTTGGGGCTGAGAGGCAGGCTGCCCAGCCCAGTGGGAGCTGCTCACTGCCTATTCGGGTTCAGAGTCAGGCAGGTGATGGGGTGAGAGCGCAGAGTGGGCAGGGCTGGGGGAGACTTTCAGCACTCCGTCTCCTTCCACCATGTGCAGCATGTGTGGGGTGCACATGTGAGTGTGTGCAGGCAGCATTCATGCCTGGGTGGACTGTACTCGGTGTGTGCACATGAAAGCTGTGTGTCTGCGTCTGTATGCATGTAGGTGCAGGCATCTGCATGTATGTGCACGCATGTGCTACATATAATCGTGTATGTTTGTGTCTTGGTTTGAGTTCCCCCAGAATCTGACACTGAGACGAGTACTCAATTGCAGGTCACTTACTGGGACATGATCCCTGGAAGCATGGTAAGGGAAAGGAAGAAGAGGGGCAGCCATCCTTTCAAGCACATTGCTACTGTGGGCCAGTGAAGCTCATTTGGTGGGGAACCTGGAAGCCAGTGTAGAATACTTCAGCGTTCTCCCAAACAGAGGGCGGACATCTGGGGGATTTGTCCACCAGCTCCCATTTGTCATTGGCTGGAGGCTGCTGACAGGGTTGTTTGCTCTCAGACAAAGAACAAGCATGGTGGGCTTGTTCTGTGGGCCTGGAGGAAGGGTGGCTAGGAATCAGCCTTTGGTGAGTGGAGGGGATCCAGGTGCCTCCACAGAGCTTGCTGCTGCCAAGTCTACCCCAGAGACCTTGGGGATTGATGGGCTCAGCCCTCCAGCTGCTGCAGATGTTGTCAGCAAACAGCCCTCAGGACAAGTCTCCTTTGGGAGACTGAGGAAAGCCACCCACCTGAGATCACACCTCTTTTCTGGGTGATCTGCATCCAATGACTGATTGATGAAGGGTTAGGAAACCTGGTCCCCATATCCCAATTTAGGTCAACTCAGAAGGGCATTCTGGCTGCAGACCCCACAGCGGTTGGCCCAGGGCTCATTCAGGCCTGCATCACAGCCTGACCTCCCCCTGGCCCAGGTCTGCGTCCTCCTCAATGTGACCCTGAAAGTGGCCCACGAATCTCCGTCTCACGCACCCAGCTCCGCAGCATGTATGTGCACATGTATAGATTTGTCTTGCAGATAGGAACGTATGAGCACCCCCCGGCCCCAACCCTGAGCTCTCCATGCCAGTGACCTAAACGCCAGGCTGGCATCTTCTGCAGGGCTCCCAGGCCTGAGGCAGGCAGAGATGGCTTCCACCCCAGATCTCCCCGGAGCAGCCCCCATGAGGGGAATATGAGGGACTCAATAAGGGGCATCAGGGAGATGGGGTTCTTCAGTGTCCCCCACATTCTACATTGACCCTTCATAACTCCAGGCAGCTCTGTGGTACCAGTGACCTTGGCTCACATCCTTTCTTCCTGAATGCTTGATCCTAGAAGGGAGTTTTCTCCAGACATGGGCCTTGCCTTGTCTTATACAGAGGCAAGGGGCATCACCCTGCATCCAGGCCACCCCAAGCAGAGACGTCCTGGGATGAGATGGATAAACTCTGACCACCCCTCCTCGCCCAAATGCGGGTTTATCTTCTCGAGAAGGCTGCTGGGGGCCAGCTAGACCTGGGGATGGAGAAGAACGGAACAAGGTGGAAAGCAGGCAAAGCTGGAAGCAGGCAAGGACAGAAAGAGGCCCAGAGGGCACCGGATGTTACAGAAATGTTTATTACAAGGATAAATATATACAATAATGCTGCTGATCCTGGGTCTGTGGGGCTGCGAGGGACGCAGGGATTGGGCAGTGGCCTGGGGTGGAGGAGGTGTGAGACAAGGTGGGTCAGTGGTGGATCCACAGTCCTGGCTCTGGATTGGGTCTGGGAATGACCAGGTCCCCAGATCATGCACAAGTGGGTCCTATAACTTGCGCCTTAACAGACTTGCCCTCCCAATCTGCAGCCCTCCTGCCTAAAATTCTGTGTCTCCCTAGTGACTGGGTGTGTTGAGACCATCTCTGAGCAGGGACATCAGTGAAGAAGGCCAAAGGTGAATCAGGGGACCACTACTGGCATCTGCCCCGCCTCCCCTGCATTCAGAGATGGGAAAACATCATAGGTCTTTGAGAAACATGCCTGCCCTTCTTTGAGTTAGTGGTCCTCTCAGAAATGGTCGCAGTTTGACTACAGCCTGGATGCTCTAGGTTACACCAAATTGCTTAGAACCCCCTTAGGCGGTTCCTAAGCCTGGCCCCCACACTCCCTTCCATGATACCAAAGGTTATGGGAAAACAAATTTCTCAGATTTTTTTCAATCTTAGACTTTGCTCTGGGGACACTTCCTCCAGGAAGCCTTCCTGAGTGCTGCTTGCCGCTAAGCCCCCATGTCAGTGCAGTGTCCCTCCCCTTATCTGTACTCACTACTCCCCAGGGTCTCTCCTCATTGCATTTCCCAAAGAGCTGGATCTAGGGCTGATGGGATGTATACCTGGGATGATGCTGGCTCAGTGTCCCTCCCCTTCCTGCTGGCAGAGCCCAGAAAAGGATGGTGGGGGCAAAGAACAAGGGCAGAGATGGGAAGCCTATGGGGTCCAGCAATATTTCAGGGCCCGTCATTCTTCCTTCATGTCTGCTTTTCACTCCTGTGCAGAGAAGCTCTAAGAGCCTGCCCTTGTTGGAGTTTGTATGTCTGAGACTCCTTCTCTACCCAGAATCTATAATACCTTACAAGCCCACTGGAGAGGCAAGCATCTCCCAGAACCAGAAGGAGCCAGGGGCCTCTGGATCACCATGTATTTCCCTCGTACTTATTGGGGTCTGTGCCTCATAGGGTCAGACTGGAGCTGGGGGAGGCTATACTCAGGGGCTGATAGGATGTGTACCTGGGATGATGCAGGCTCAGGCCTGGCTGTCCCCAGGGCGGCATTCCCTCTGGGCTGAAAGGGCTGGATTAGGCCCCCTGCCCCCTCTGGCATTCCCTTCCTCCTTGTACCTTCCTGTTCTTTCTCTGTGGAGAGGTTGGCAGAGTTGGGTAGTGGGCTGCCTGCAAGGCAGGAGACCCTCCAGGGAATGGGAACAATGGGCTGAGCTCCTAGCTAGCCTCAAGTCAGAAAAGTAGGCCCTGTCTGGATAGCCGCTGAACAGCCCTAGTCTCCTGCTTCCCAACACAGCCTGGGCTAGGGGCAGTGAGTCGGAGGAGGTGAAGATTGAGCCCTGCAGGCTGCAGTTAGGGAGTCCTCCCCCAGCAAGTCACTCTCATGGGGTGTCTTCAGGGGCCAGGGCTCTCCAGAGAGTCTGCAACCCCAAGCCTCATGGAGCAGGGGAGTCAGATGCCAGGTCCACTGGCCACTAGCCATGGCCATTCTGGGACATGTAAGCTGCCAGAGCCACTACCACAGCCACATAAAGACCGGCCCCCACAGCGATGGAGAGTGTGGCCAGGAAGAGGGCCCGGCGGGAGGTGGTGCTGGCCAGACGGAAGTCCCCCTTAGAGATGGCCTTGCTGGTCTAGGGAGAGAGATGGACTGTTGAAAAGGAGCATCCCACGCCCAGCAAAATATCCCTAGCCCACCAGATCCCTGGCTCCATCTTGCCTACCCTCAGGCCAGGTCATCCAGTGGATGGAGCTGGTCAGAATGGAAGCCCTGGTGCTCTTACCCCCTGGGAGAAGTAGAAGGCGGCAATGCCCAGTGGCCAGAAGCAGCAGAGCATGGAGAAGATAGTAAGACCAAGGTGGTCCCTGGGAGGCAGCGTGAGGAAGTTGTCTTCACTTTCACTCTCTGTTGACGTCACATCACTCTGCAAAATACGAGTGGGGTTTTGAGACCAGGCTTAGGATTACCCAGTAGCAACGGTGTTGGCAGTGGACAGTCTCATTTGCTGTTGGTGGGGGCATGGCTTGGGTTTGGTACACTCTACCAAAAGCTTTAACAATGACCCAACAATTCCATCTTTCGGGGTTTATCCCAATGAACGAATACAATATATATTTCCTGAGAAGTTCATCTTAGGATAGCAATTGTAAAAGATTAGAAACAATCTCAGTGCCAATGACCCAGAGACAGAATTAAAAAATGATGGAAGAACTTAGAATGGAAAACTCTGTAACCCTTAAAATCACCTTGTAGAAAAATATTAAATTATGTGGATGTTAGAAAGAAAAATCAGGATATAAAACTGGATGGCGAGATCTCTTTGGGGAAGTAGGCTGGGAAAAAACATGAATGAAAAAGACTATAATATCATCCACTGGGTCTCCCCTGGTGGCGCAGGCAGTTGAGCACAGTGCTGTGAAGCTGTCTGCAGCCTCTGCAGCACGGGTTTAATCACAGCCGGCCAGGGAGATACCCACATGGCGCGGCAGACCTCTACTGTCTCCCCCGCTGCTCCCCTCAGCAGTGTGTATCAGTCAGTCTGCCTGTTCTGTTCCCTGCTCTGTCTCTGGTGAATCCTCTCACCCTTCCGCACATCTGGCCTGTACCTCGGTTCCTGTATGCATGAATAAATAAATCTTTTTAAAATCGTGGATTCCTGCTTTGAGTTTGAATTACTTAAACAATTAAGAAAACACGAACAATATAAACTTTTCTCAAAGACTAAATGTCCATCAGTGGGTGAATGGGTATAGAAGAGGTGGTATTGGGGGCCTCCCCTGGTGGCCCAGCGGTTGAGCGTTGGGCTGTGAGGCTGCCCGCAGCCTCTGCGGTGCCAGTTCATTCCCTGGCCACCAGCAAGGGTCCCACAAAAAAATAAAAAAAGAAGAGGTGGTATTATGTACATACGGTGAAATATTATTCATTCACACAAAATAGGGGACTCTTGCTATTTAGTGGAATCTAAGAAACTGAGTTCATAGAGAGAAGATTGGTGGTTGCCAGGCCCTGGGAGAAATAAGAGGTTGGATATAGAGTACAAAGTTCCAGTTACGAGAGTAAGTTCTGGGTCCTCACGGACAGTGGTGACTGTAGTTAATAATACTGTTGTTGTACACTCGAAAGTTGCTAAGAGAGTGGATCTTAAATGTAAGATCTTAAATGTTCTCACCATAACAACAGTAACAACAAATGGTAATTATGTGAGGTGAGTGATGTGTTAACGAACCTTATGGGGGTAATCATTTTGGAATGTGCACATAATCAAATCATCACATGGTACACTTTAAACTTCTACAACGTTACAGATCAGTGATAGCTCAATAAAGCTGGGAAAAGAGGAGAAAAACAACATCAAGAAAAGCTATTAAACATTAAATAATCGGCCCAAGCACGGGCACTGGCCCGCAGTGCTTTCTCTTTGATAACATACACGTTCCTGGGCTCCGACTCAGGCCCATGAATCTGCATTTTCAACACGGACACTTACCTCCTCCTCTTCCTGGTCGTCCTCCTGGCCCTGCAGCTCCTCTTGAACCCCATAGGACACCGTCTGGATGGTGACATCCTCTTCTGCTGGCCCAGGCTCTGTAGGACGTTCCGCGGGCCCAGCCTGGGCCTGCCTGCTCTCTGTGAAGCTGGTCTCGCAGCTGCCAGACCTGGGCTCCTTGACCTTGTCCCTCCCCAGGAGGCAGCTAGGCCTGTACCAGGCCTCCACCGCTAGCTGCAGGGACCCTGGGTCCAGGAGCTGGTGGGCATGAGCAGGACTGGCGCCCCCCAGGAGGTAGGAGTAGAGCTGCTCCTGGCAGGACCAGCCAGGCGAAGTCTCAGGGTAGGGGTAGGGGCCGCGGAGGTGTGTGGGGCTCCGAGGCAGCAGTGGGTTCTGTAGTTCACTCAGACTTTCCATGGTTCTGGGGGCAGCTCTGGGGAGGGGAGCCTGGGTCAGCTGAGCCGTCCTTCGAGAGCCTGCTGGGAGAACAAGGCAGGTAGACACCGAGGCCAGCAGGCCAGACGCAGGACTGGAAGAGGTGAAGAGCGCAGGCGCTGCAGTCTGACTTGGCACACACCCTGCCTTTGCGCTGGTCGCCTTGGGGCCTTGCACTGCTGCTCATCTCCCCAGAGGTTCTGTTTGCATGTGGATTGGGATAACAGCCCTGCTTACCTCATAGAGCAGCTTTAATTTATCTGGTTTAATGTCTCTGATCCGCACCTATTTCTTGAGTGTCAGCTCGGTGCCACTGTGCAGACGCTGGGGCACAATGGCGAGGGGGCAAGAAGCAGGGAGAGGGAAAGGGATGTACCCTACAGCCCCTCCCCATTTCATCCATGCTCTGGGATACTAGGACATGGCCCCAAGGTTCCCCAACTTCTCTCTTTTTATTAGTCTACATTTATACCCTCCCTCTACTTATAGCCAGAGGGTCCCTCAGCCAAAGCACCACCGATAGCCTCGAGGGTCCTGGTAGGCAGAGGTATGCAGGGTCCTTTAGGAGTCTGGTAGGGTAGGGTGGGAAAGCAGAGCAGATGAAAGCATCAAACTCAACCCTGTCCCATGCCCTGCCTTGCCAGGAAGCCTTGGCAAGTCACCTGCCCAACGCTGAAGAAGGAAAGGAAGGATTCTTGTGGCCATAGATCAGACCCTGGAGCTCTGGAGACTGTAGGGGCCTTTGTAGAACATTTGTACAAGGCAGACTTTGCACAGGGGCAGCCAGGTCCAGCTCACTCATCGCCCCGCTCCTGTTCCCAGGACCTGCATTCAAGGCAGTTTTCATCTCCACCTCTGCTGCCTGGTCTCACCTGGACTGTGTGAGCCTATTGTGTGCACTCATTTCTCTCTCCAAGAGGCCTTTGTTTATCCAGCCCCTTCTCTTGGTCAAGGTACACCCAGATGCACCTCTGAAATACAAGCCACACAATCTTTCCTAGATTACACTCACACACACACACTCACACGCTCACATGTGCGCGTGTACACACACTCGCTGATTGTGCTTTAGACAAGGCGTGGCAGCACTGCGTGCACAGAGATGTATGAGCCTGGGCTTTCTACAACAAGGACAAGCTGGAAACCACCTGAAGGTCCAACAATCGGGAACCAGTGAGATCAATTATGGCACAACAATACACTGGAACAGGCTTACAAAGAGGAGCAGCCTGAGAAAATGCTCATTGCAGATTCAGTGAGAAGGAAAGAAAACAGCCTGTGCACATAATCTCAGCTCTGCCAAGATGTCAACAGTGATTATCTCCAGAGGGGGGAGCACAGGTGCTTTTTATTTTCTCTTTTACACCGTGGTTTTTTTTCTGTTTTTCACATCTAGTTTTCACAATGAGCATATACTTCTCTTAAACCAGAATAAAATTAAGTGCCTAGATTTCTTCTGAGTCAAATTATCTAAAATTAGTTTAAAATCTCCTGAGGCTGGAGGATTTTCTTCTGGCTTTGGAGCTGTTCCAGGGGACCCAGCACTGAATCCTGGCCAGAAGGAGGGGGTAGCCGGTCCCCAGGTCCAGACTTCTCTGCCCTTGGCCTGGTCTGACTTTTTGACCTGTTGCGTAGGACAGCCTCTCGCTGTTCCCAGGAGTACAGAACCTGCATTGAAGGCAGTTTTCATCTCCACCTCTGCTGCCTGGTCTCAATTGGACTGTGTGAGCTTATTGTGCGTGCTGCGGACCTGCACACTTGCTGATGAGCACGTGTGTATGTGTGTGATCACTTGTGTGCATGTGTGCACTCTGCTCCAGAGGAAAGGCAGGAACACCCGGTATTCTGGAGCTAAGATCATTGTTCCATATTATGCAGTGGCGAGGAGGTCTGTCCCCACAAGAGGCGAGGGCAAGAAGGTTGATCTGAGAGGCCATAGCCCCTGGCTTGTTTCCTTTTGAGCTGAGAACAGAGGTTTTCCTCTCTCTGATTTGGGGATTGAAAGCACACTGCCACCTCCCAGACTAGGACAGGCAACCATCCAGCCATCCCCAGGAGTCCAATTACAGCCTCTCCCTGGAGCCCCATGGCGTGGGGGTCCAGCTACACAGGGTAACATCAGTTTGCTTATCTACAAAATGCATGGAAGGCATAGAGAGCTTAATTTTTAACAGCTTAGCTCAATATGATCCTGGGATTCTATTGGGAGAATAATAATAAAAATTACAATTATTGAGCTTTTTGCCACTTGCCAGGAACTGAACTGTTATAATGCTCATTCTGATTCTATAATTCTAGTGGAGATTAACAAATAGGATAGGAGGCTGTGCCTTCCAGCTGCAGCAGACTAATTTGTATACCATGAAACCTGCCAATAATAGCTAGAAAGCTGGGGGAAAGTATGATGGCATCACAGAAGCAAGGAAGAAAGAGCCCAAGGTATCAAGGTCCCAAGATCCCAGGGGAAAGAGAAACAGGGAGACATGAGCCTGACACTAGGCTCCACTTCCTCCTGGAACTTTCCTGTTTCATCAGTGGAGGCTAGAGGCTGCTCTTCAGCAGAGGCAGAGGCCAGGGAGGAAAAATGGAGATTGGGGTCTATTAAGGAGGAGGGGACTCAGAAAGCACCCATGGTCTCTGTAGCACGAGTTCAATCCCCGGCCAGGCAGGGAGTAACCCACGTGGCGAAGCAGACCTCTCCTGTCTCTCCTGCTGCTCCCCTCAGCAGTGTGTTTCAGTCAATCTGCCTGTTCTGTTCCCCACTCTGTCTCTGGTGAATCCTCTCACCCCCCTGCATCTCTGGCCTGTACCCTAGCTCTTGTATGCATAAATAAATAAATCTTAAAAAAAAAAAAAAAGAAAACAACCGTGGTTTCCAAGTGGGAATTCTTTAGGGCTACCTCTTAGAGGAGGAGTAAACCAGAAAGAGAAACCAGCTTTGAATCAGCACCATCGCTAATTGAATTAAAGGGATTCACACACAGCCTCACAGTCTGGCAGAAGGGAAACCTGTCTCTGGGCACTGGCTACCCACCTTTAGTGGGCACTACTATCGCCTGGGGGGCTTTTTAATCCCAGACTACTAGATTCCACCCTCACAGCTCATGGTTCTGTATGGGTCCTGAGAAAGTGCATCGCTCAAGTTAGCAGGTGATGTTGATGCGCCCGGCCCAGGGACCACACTTTTAGGAAGCGCAGCTCTGATAATCAGTGAAAGAATAAAGATATGCTGCTTATAAGGCATGTACCTTAAGTATAAAATCAAAAAACTTCTAAGTGGGGGCCACCCTGGTGGCGCATCAGGTTGAGCACAGCGCTGTGAAGCTGTCCACAGCCTCTGCAGTGCGGGTTCGATTCCCAGCTGGCCAGGGAGAAACCCACATGGCATGGCAGACCTCTCCTGTCTTTCCTGCTGCTCCCCTCAGCAGTGCTTTCGGTCCTTCTGCCTGTTCTGTTCCCCAATCTGTCTCTGGTGAATCCTCTCATCCTCCCGCATCTCTGGCCTATACCTCAGTGCTTGTATAAATAAGTAAATAAATCAATCTTTAAAAAAAAAAGTTCTAAGTGAAAGGATGAAATAATACCTCACACTTATTGATAGTACCTATGTTCCAGGTAATATTCTAACTGCTATGAATGCAGAAGATTGTAATAGACACTTCCTGGAAGACATAGAGGTGCACATCATTTCTTATCATTAGGGGAATGCAAATCAAAACAAATGTCACCTCATACCTGTGAGAACGGCGATTTCTCCAACAAGCGTTGGAGAAAATGTGGAGAAAGGGAACCCTTGTGACTTTGGTGCGAATGTCAGTTGGTGCAGCCATTAAGGAAACAGAGTACGGAGATTCCTCCAAGATTAAAAATAGATATTCCAGAGACTCCCTGGTAGTGCAAGGGGATGAGTCTTAGCACTATGAAGCTATCTGCAGCCACTGCAGCACGAGTTCCTTCCCCTGCCAGGGAGCTGACCCACATGGTACAGCAGATCTCTCCTGTCTCACCCACTGCTCCCCTCAGCAGTGTATTTCAGTCTGTCCTTCTGTTCTGCTCCCCACTCTGTCTCTGGTGAATCCTCTCACCCCCCTGTACCTCTGGCCTACACCCCAGCTCTTGTATGCATAAATAAATAAAATAATTCTTAAAAAAAAGAAATTCCATACAATCCAATTATTCCACTTCTGGGTATTTACCTGCAGAATATAGAAACACCAATTCAAAGAGATATGCACCCCCTCATGTTCATTCACCCCACCCTCGCTCACAATGGCCAAGAGCTGGGAACAACCTAGATGCCTATTGACAGATGAGTGGATAAAGATGTGAGATATATATATGTGCAATCCTGTCATTTACAAAAACATGCACAGACCTAAGGGCATTATGCTTAGTGAACTAAGTCAGACAGAGAAAGACATACACTGTTTGATTTTACTAATTTTGGGCTCTGTGGCCCAAAACAAATGAATGAATTAAATAAAACAAAAATAAACTTCTAACCTGTAAGACCAAATTAGTGATTATCAGAAGGGAAGAGGGAAAGAAAGGGATGAAAGGGGTCAATTGTATGGTGAAGGGTGGAATTACACTTAATGCTGTGTAGACAGATGTTGATTTATCATGATGTACACCTGAAACCCAGAGAATGTCATACACCAATGTTACTTCACCAAAAACAAATGTTTAATGCTGTGAATTCTCTCACTTGATCTCTAGAGTAACCCTATGAAGTCTTTGCCATCATTATCTCCATTTCACAGATAGAGACACTGAGGTGCAAGAAGACCAAGTGTCCAGGCCTCAAAGCGTGACGGCCTTGAACCCTGGAAGTCTGACTCCAGGGTCTCGGGGCCACCGTGCCAGCTGCCATTTTTTGAGCCCTTGCCTTGCTCCGAAGGCCATGCCCAGTGCCCAAATGCAGCTTCTCATGCAATCCCTGCTCTTCCCATGTGGGGGAGCTGCTGCCCAGCGAGGGCCGGGCGGTTTCCTGAGCTCACAGGGCTGGAGAGTGGGTGAGCCCTCCTGGACCCAGCCCTGA